CTCCAGAGGAGGACTCTATAATGTTATACCCATCTGGAGTACTCTCCAGCATAGAGGTACTGCCAGCTCTGGAAGAGGTTACTGATATCAGGGAACAAAGGGTACCTACTTCCCAACGCATATGGGTTGAGGACTCTGGGTTTAAAGTGACCCATGAGTGTATTAATTCTGATCTTGAGATTGAGCCTGAGCACAATCAGTGCACACCCTGCCCGGTGACAACCGTTGACAGGGATGAAGAAGCATCTCCTGTAGGAAGTCTGAGTCTTGAAGAAACCGTACAAGTCCCCCAGATTGTGAATTTGCGCAGATCTCAAAGAGTTGCGGCAAAGGGGTACCCCAGTGCTCATTCTACTGTTCATGCGATGATGGGGTTGAATGCAGTTGACGATACTGTAGAGGATACAACTAGCTACCAGGATTCTCTCAGATCAGAGCACTGTCAGGAATGGAAAACCACTATGTGTGATGAGTTCAAATCCTTGGAAGATAATGAGACATGGTCTATTATTAACAAATCTAGTATTGGACAAAATGTGCAGCCAATTGGATGCAAATGGGTATTTAGACGCAAGATAAATCCAGATGGATCAATACGCTATAAGGCATGTCTAGTAATCAAGGGATATGAGTAGCAAATATTTGGTGAGACTTTTGCCCCTGTTGCTCAGCTAACGAGCATAAGACTAGTTTTGGCTTTAGCTACCCTCAATAGGTGGGAGATTCATCACCTTGATATATGCACCACATTTCTTAATCCTAAGCTCGAGGATACTGTTTTCATAGAAATGCCGGAAGGTATTGAGTGGCTCAAGCCAGCTGGATACATGGGATCCCAGGACTGTATCCTAAAGCTTAATAAGGTACTATATGGTCTTAAGGAGGTGCCATGCCTATGGTATCAACATATCGACAACTTTCTTGGATCTATTAGTCTTGGAAAGTCCAATAATGATCCTAACCTCCACTTTACCAAGGACCGGAGTCTATTCTTGGTCCTTTACATCGATGATATCCTGCTTCTCTCAAATTCCTCTAGCCTGATAGTAGAAGTTAAAATGAAACTAGAAATAAAGTATAAGTTGAATGATCTTGGACCAGCAAAGCAGTTCCTAGGATTGGAAATCATTAATGGTCATGACCACTTATTCCTTCACCAACAATGCTTCGCTCAAACCATCCTAAATCAATTTGGGATGGCTGGCTGTAACAGCGTTTCCACTCCACTTGAGATCAAACAGCTTGTCCCTACAACACCTGAATGTGACCAAGGAAACCCAGCAGAATATCAGTCTATCCTAGGTTCCTTGATGTATCTCGCTATTGGCTCCAGGCCAGATATATCATATGCTGTAAGCATACTTAGTAAGTTTAGTGTTAACCCCAGTGCTATACATCTTGCTGCTATAAAAAGACTACTACGTTATATCAAAGGTACAATGCATTTAGGACTCTACTATCAACTTGGCTCCAACTCCGAAATCCATGGATACTGTGATTCAGACTTCGCTGGAGACTCACAGGACTCTAAGTCAACTTCCAGCTATGTTTTTACCTTGGCCAGAGCTTCCATTTCCTGGAAGTCAAAGAAACAGAGTCTGGTCGCTCTCTCATCCACAGAGTCGGAATATATTGGATACTCAGAGGCTTCACGAGAAGCTGTTTGACTGAAACGGCTTTACCATGAGGTCATCGGTACAGACTACAAACCCCAAAGACTTCTTTGTGACAACAAGAGTGCCCTCCAGCTCGTAGAGCAACCAAGGTTCAATGAGAGATCGAAACATATTGCAATTCAGTATCACCATGTGCGGGATTCCTGCCGGAATGGTCTTATCACTTTGGAATACCTGCAGTCCTCGGATATGACTGCAGATATTCTTACCAAGCCACTTACCAGGAATCTACATCAAAAGCACGTTATGGCTTTAGGACTTCATGAACCTCTGAAATAGATTTTCCCTTACTTGTTTTATATTTGATTTCTTATGTTGTGGTTACTCTTGTAGGCGGTACTCTTTTTCCCTATCACTAGCAGCACGATAGGTTTTTAATGAGGCTAACCGAATTCTTTGTTTTGTTTTTCCTTTTATACAATCAGGTATAGATAGTGAGAGGAAGGGTGGGAGTGTTGAGAAATGGTTCTGTAGATGGAGGTCCGGAGAGACATTTGCTTGGACTTCCTACTCACTATTCCGTATAGGAGATGTACTTGGAAGTGCGTACTCCGTATCCTGACTTGCGTCATCATGATAGTATATATATATACCATTCTTGCTCCACTTAGCTAGTTAGACAGACTGAATAAAACAACCTTCCGCTGCACCACCAAAACGCTCAATTCTTGACACATCATCTAAGATCATAACGAGTCATTGAGTATGATTCCTGCTACTAACGAAACGGATACCGGTACTACGGTAGGTCGGTCCTAAAGCCCCGACATTAGACTGCGGGTTCGTGGACGGCCGGCTTCGGCAGACGAAAATATAATACTCGGGTGCTACAACTGAGGTTTTTCCGAATAGGCTAGCCTGTGTTGGTTCACGGCTATTATGCGGGACCTACCAGAGATATTTTCGCAACAAGGCGTCGGAGAGACCCGTGATGCTTTCCTTATTAGAGTATAGATGGCCGCAATTAATCTGACCTGAATAAGCCCCCGCTCTGGAATCTAGAAGTAAAATGAGGTCCAAAAGTGTTAATCCCGACTTTGGATATCGCTGCGGGGAGGAACGAAACTTGGCTGGTGTTTTAACAGCCACTTGATTGGGTCCACGGAAGGCGCTTGAAGCTACCAGTTGGATACGATCCATGCATGCAGAAACGGCCCCACCTTCTATTTCCTAATTCAAATCTTGGGGCTTCCCATTTCCCCCTCTCACAAATGAAGCTGACCACCAATTTTTCGGGAACGGGGAGCTGCTTTATTCTCCTCGGGGGACTAAAACTACTACCGACCGATAATAGGAGTCCGTGCCTAGACGCAGCGAGTGCACATAACGTCTGGTCGGGGGGGCTTCATGGTATTAAAGAATGCAAGAAGCCCTTCGGGGTTTAAGGCGAACGACAGGAGGGAGGGGATAATAATGAATGCCTACGGGGTTGTCGCCATCCTAGAGCTCTTGGTCACTTAGAATTCCTTTCATGCAAGCTCCGACCACAGATGAAGCATCGTGCCGTAATGAGCGGCTTATCTGCAGCAATGGTAGCAGTAGATGGTCATGCGCCCACTGCACCATCGAAGCAAATCATGTCCGATCACTCACGAAAGACCGGAATCCTATATGAGAGTAGTATCGGATTGTATGAGAGCACCAGGATAGGAGCTGTGGCCTGTATCACAAATACCAAAATGTCTAAGCACGAAGGTGGGCACCAACTTGAATGTCGTAAACCTAGGCAAATGTCAGCCAAGGAGTCTCTCCAATGTTTCTGCCATGGCACCTGTCTCATTGCTGATGGTGTTAGTCGTAGTGTAGAAACTTGAGCCGAGACTAAAGATCCTGTGCCATGTATATCACATTACGGTTTCTGGAAGTAGAAATCTTCATGTGAAAAGCTGGAAATTCCGCTTCAATTGGTACCCAAGTGTTTGTCCTTCTCCTGTTACGGGATTTCAAACGCTTTTTAGCACAAAGATAGATATTTTAGTGGGAAATTTTTTTGACAAAAAATGGGAAAGGCAGCTGTTACCTAGCCAATACTGGTACCGGTAGTTTTCTAAAGAGAATCTGTCGCAAGAAAGGAGTTTTGTGTTATTTCGCCACTTATCCCCTGTACTGCCCGGATTAGCAACCTTGTGCTCAAGTGCTTGAGAGCAGACGAAGGGGCAAGCTTATCAGCCATAAGGGATCTTCAGAACAAAAACCTCTCTGCCCTCCAGGTCGCAAAACCGCTATGATTACTCTCCCATCCATCCCTCACTTCCCCGTACCCCTCCCCGTCCAATCCCCCCCCCCTCGAGTTGAATGTAAACATACCAAGCCCGTGAACTCTTACAGATAAGGAGGGATCCCCATGACCTTGGAAAAGCACAAAGCGGTCATAAATGCTCACCGGAAGCTCCTCAGCATGTAAATGACCAAATACCATCGGTAAGATGGAAGAAAAGGTGTGAGATTACACGATCAAGTGATCCGAGAAAGATGCCATCGGCACCCAGAGGGTGGGTCAGCTCTGGATCGGCCGTCTCCACGGGAATAAGCACACCGACACTACTCGAGTACGGTACGTGACTGCGAGCCCGGTGTTTGCCAGACTGTGATGTACCTAGTCTTGCGTAACCTTTTGTTGTAGAATCTGTTCCGGACCGTCACGTTGGATGCGGATGTGACGAACCCCGTGAACCCCCCGGCGTCATCAGCCGGCGAGAGATATACAATGGCAGCCGCTACGGCCTCACGTTTCGGGGAAGAACCGCACCGGGCAGATATCGAACCGCAATCCTTTCTCCGCCAGTGAATGCGCTGCTTCAGCCCGCTTATACTGGAGATCATATTGTCACCTGTTTTCGGGCATTTCCTTGGGCAGTTGGAGATGGAGTAGCGCTTTGACTTGGTGGCTTCTCGTGCCTTCTTGCCTACAGTCCTACTCAAGATAGCTATGATGATGGGTGATTCATTTCTCTGCTTTCCTTGTAACTTGGCCTTTAGGTGCATTCAGCGACAACGCATCATCTTTGTATGCCAAAACCATTGTCTATGTGCTAGGTTGTATTCCCCATATGGCCCTATATATATCATCCATCCCGCAAGAACCCCCGGTAGACCGTTGGCTTTTTGGTGTGTTCACACCCTTTGGCATCTTCCTCCCAACCTTAACCCCTACCCACCGAACTTTCCGAGTGATTGCGTGTGATTCATATCACTAACAATTTACATCATAATCTTGTTATATGGAACAAGGTATATTGCATGCACAATTCTCGGGCCGAATTGAAATCACAAGACGAGTGATTGATTGTGAAAACAGAATTTACATCATTACTGGCTGAAGATAAATTTTAAAGATCCCCGTTTAATTTCGTGAAAGTTGCGTCAATCTACACCAGCGCTCCCAGGTTTCCCGGACAAACTCCCAATACTAGAAACGAGATGACCTCTTCTCCTGGGCTGATGAAAGAGAAGGTCATTTTATTTAGTGAAAAAGGTACAGGTGAAAAAAGGAGGAAAAAAAAAAACACTTTAATTCCGACCACCCCACCCATTCGCACCAAAGGATTTTTTTTGAATTTTTTTTGTTGGCCACCGCCACCTACAAACGCTTACGCCTTTTCCTTCTTCTCGGGCCTCATAGAAGAAGCACGGCGTTTGCGTATCTCAGAACGTTTTGCGTTCTCTTCCTGGACACGTTTGGCGAGGAGAGCTGCGTATTCATTCTATACTCGTGTCAACAATGTGGCGCAGTGCAAGCAAACGACTTCAGACTTACCGCAGCATCCTTGGAAGCCTCCGCTCTCCTTCTCTTGAGGGCGACTCTGTGACGCTTGTGCTGAAGACGTTGAGGGGTAACGAGCCTCTGGATCTTAGGAGCCTTGGTGTATGGCGCCTTCCCTTCACCCTTGGGCTGGACTTCGCGGCGGATAACGAACTTGCGAACCTATTTGTGCCATATGCAATAAGCCACCGCTACCAACCCGATACCCACCCGCCGCCTTTAAATAGCGAAAACATACATCATCATCCTCAGTCAAACTGAAAAATTTCCTGATCTTGGTAGCACGCTTGGGTCCGAGTCTCTTAGGATGGGTAACATCCGTCAATCCAGCGACATCACCGTCACCCTGCTTGACAACAACGAGAGAAAGAACAGCGAGATCTCCGGCTACAATACATCCACGAACAGACTTGCGCTTCCTCTCTCCGGTCCTGCGGGGGCGGTAGCAAGAGTGCCCCTTAGAGAGGAGGAGCTTGACACGAGAAGGGTGCATGACCCCCTGCTTCATAGGGAAACCTTGTTTGTCGTTACCACCGGTGATCTTGAAAATATATCCAGCAAATTCCGGTCCAACAGAGTCACCAGGCACCTCTTGTCCCATACGCTTATCCATGAAGACACGGAGACGACGCTCATCTTCGATTTCAATGAGTTTTTGTGACCCGTTGGCGGGATAGCTGTAAGGCGAGTTAGCCTTGATGGATCCACACCCTGTCCTTCTCCTTACTCCTATCCCAATCCGCCCCTCCGCTAATTCTATATCCAAGGAGGGTCACGCGAAAATGCAGTTTGGTGTAATGAGGGAAAGTGTAACTTACGCCTAGATTTTGTTAAAGAATTAGCCGCACATTCAAACTAGGGGTACCGAAAAAATTGACATGAAAACAGGGAAAATTCTCACAATATTGAGCTTCATGTTTGTGTTGACTTTGTTGGTTTACCGGGGGGAAATTTTCGGTGCGCCTGGTGGTTTGGCGATTGCCGTCGTCAGTCGTTGGGTGGTGTTGTGTGCGGTTGTTCGATTTCCCTGTGGGTCTCGCGAGTCCCGCTAGGCGGAATATGTGTGGGTGGCGGGAGAGGACTGTGTTAGGGTATGAAAAATTCAACCCCTAAGCAGTGTTCCTTGGCGCTAGCCGTTCATAAACCCTCACTCGGGGGACCCGCTGGATCTTGAAAAAAGAAAAAATTTGCCGGACTACACCCGTACTCATCTACTTCCCGAAGCGCAGAAATATCACTTACGACAATCCAAGTAGTACTCCTAGCCTTGAAAGGCACCCCACTTGGTTGGTACGAAAGGTATAACTTCATGGCACCAACATCAACGATATAAAAACAGAGTTCAAGCTGCTTACGTACAAGAGCAATCATTAAGATAGGGACAAATAATTGAGGGACTAGGCCTACTACGCGATGCTCTGAAGCATGAGATATGAGCACATATAATTCGTGAGGATTATCTCGAACTGAATCTACTTGGAGCATGCTAAAACTTATTAAAAAGGGCAGTAAATTTCGCTGGAATAGCGGTTGTGAGGGCGGGGGAATTAGGGCCGGGCTTTGCGCGGTCATAATTCGCTACCCGAGTAACTCCGGCCCATTAATACATCCAATAAATGAAGACAACCGCCACCGCAAAGCCCAACCAATAATCCGACTATTTCAAAACACGGGAGAATTTTGGTGAACTTTTTAAACCCTTATCCAGCACAGGGTTTGCTTTTATTTGTGAAGAAATTGATACAAGAAACCCAAATGGACCATATACCTGAGCCAAGACGCCGGTTAACGGTAAGATTCTGCGAACCCCCATTAGTCTCTGCCACCAAGTCTTGAGTACTAGATTTGGAAAGTACGTACTCTGGTATCTTGCTCTGGCGCCTGGGCCGCCAAATTTCTTTGGCTCACACCGTCTGTTATCGGCAACAAGCAGCGAACGGTCGTATGTGATCAGAGCCTGCTTCAACTGATTCTTGCTGTGCTCGTCGACAAACTTCTGGTAGTAGGCGACAATTGACTTAGCGATAGCCTGGCGGATAGCATAGACCTGTGAAGTGTGACCACCTCCAGAGACACGGACGCGGATATCGACTTCGGCGAATCTATCGAGACCGACAATCAAGAGAGGTTCATAGACCTTGAAGCGGAGGATCTCAGGCTTGACGAGGTTGAGAGGGGAGCCGTTGACCTTGACGAGTCCGCGACCCTTCTAGTGGGGTATTAGCTGTAGTTTGAAAGGGTGGGGAGTTATATGGAGGTGGTAAGGACCTTGCAATGAGCGACAGCGGTTGCTAAGATTGGAGTTAGCATCCATACTGATTTTCTCGAATATGATCTTCACTCCGAGCTTGGAGGTGATTCCGCAGGAGTCATTACCCGTCTTCTTCTTGCCAAAGCACTGAACAGATTGAGTTGGAGTAGCCATCTTGAAAATTCGTTCGTTAAGGTTCGAGCAACGGAATGGTGTATTGAGGCGATAAGGTGGCTAGCTACTAGGTGTTTTGTCGTCTGTTGTCGTTAAGGATGAATACTTCGTCCCAGTGAAACTACCGTTGCCGTCCGTTGCACGTTGTGCGGGGGGATGTCGCAGTCACAGACTCGTGGGGTACAAACCCTAATACAAACACTCCCCATTTGAGCCTCAAAGCACTTCATGAGAACCCACGGGCGAACCAACGGCATGTCCCCTGCTCCTGCAACGAAAAGGTCACCGTAAGTCAGCATGCTTTACGCCTTTGGATCTAATGGGCGGGGGCAGTTATCTCTCGGCCACTTTGAGGACGCCTACACGCCCACCCCCTGTCTAACCCCTTCGTTATTTCCATCCGTTCCACCATGTGAAATCGCAGCTGGCGGGAATCATACTCTTCTTCTCTTCTCATCTGGCGAATGCTTTGTTGCGGGTGATAATACTGGGAACCAATGCTGCCTTCCTTCAGCTACCTTTCCTTCGCTAACTACCTTCTATCCTCTCAGCGGTGACCATCGATGGGAGCACCTTTCGGCAGGTTGGAGCTTCACAGTTCTGGCTGACTATGAAGGGAAAATATTTGTTTCTGGGAACGGCCAGAGAGGGGAATTAGGACTTGGCGAGGATATTCATGATGCATTATTGGAGGAAATTACCGACTTTTCGCCTGGAAAAGTGATTCAGGTAGCGTCTGGCATGACACATACGCTCCTATTAACAGCATCCGGGGATGTATGGGGCTGGGGCACCGGACGGAAAGGACAACTTGGGGAACCTATCCAATCAGTAGTGCCCAGGCCCAGGAGGGTAGAAGTTGGATTCCCTGTCAGCAAGTTAGATTGCGGGAAGGACTTTAGCATTCTGTTGAGCAGAGACGATCTTCAGCACATCGCAGTTCTAGGGAACGATAGGTACCGAATCGGGCCTTCGCTTGAATCACGATCCGGAGCCGGAATACTCGACGTTCAAGCTTCGTGGAATGGTGTCTACCTACTCGAAACCTCTGGTACTATAAAAGCATGGGGGAAGAACGACAGAGGCCAACTCCCACCCACGGACCTCGACGGGGTAGCGGACATAGCCGTGGGCAGTGAACACGCTCTCGCTATCGTAGAGGGCAAAACCACCAAAGAAAGAAAGATAATAACCTGGGGCTGGGGAGAACATGGCAATTGTGGGAAGCCTGGGGGTGGTGATGTTATTGGCGAGGTTTTTGCCCCAGATATCCCGGCTCCCAAGATTGTACGGATCGGAGCAGGATGCGCGACTAGCTTTGTTTGGGCGGAGGAATAGCTTTCGGGTTTGGTTTATTATACTATACTACCGGTATGATATCGAGGTTCAGGACTTTGATGCAATTATTGCAAGTATCATAGCTTATATTTTTCAATAACCTTGTTTCTTTTTTGCAATATCCAAACTATGGCGTAAATTTGTTTTATCACGAGTCTATCAGTCAATCAATTGATGGATACATTAGACTAATCCCATGCCGTCCGACCAGTATCATATGGGTGCTGATAATATTATGCGAAAATTGGTCCACTCTCCCAATGCAACAAACCTGTCTCAATACATACAATACTTCTTGAGCTTAGAGAGCCCCTTCTGATGATCTTAAAAAATATTTTTCAAGAAAATTCATGCATTTATAGACTCAGAATTAGATTTTTTTCAGATTTCACACTTTTATCTTTTTTACATAGATATGTAGCCTGAGTTTTCAGCAATCAGAAAAATATTTATGACCAATTTTTAGTAGTAGAATTGAGTGCTATAAAGAATTTTGTAATACTGATTACATGTAAAAGCATTTAATATTTTTATGTTTTCCAATTTTTCCTTGGTTGCTATGCAAACTTAAAACTGAAATTACACAAAACCGGGTTTAAGGTGTCCGGCCCAATTTTTGCATATCAGCACCCATATGGTGGTCTAGGGTGCAAAACCGGAGCAATTCTCCACCCTGATTACTAAGCCGAGATACCGGCTGCCGGTATCACAATAGTACTCGTACATGTACTCGTACCCGATCCCCAATCACCAAATTATCCTTCCCCGATCAACAAACCTGAGACACCCCCCCCCGCCATTTTTACCCCACGCTCCGCCTAACTCAAGTTAAGGCCCCCCGAAGACTACCGGTACTCGTAAAAAAGCATCATCACAAGCAATCACTCGCGCTGTTCCCAACCTACACGCGACCAATGAAAAAAAAAAAAGAAAGGGGAAAAGAAGTCAAAGCACCACAACAAACAAACAAACAAACAAACAAAACCCTCTCTCCAACCACCACCCCAAACGCAAGCACAAGCGATGGCACCAACCTCGGGGCCCCTGCGGCTCAACTCACGTTCTAGTGTTTGCGCACCGTTTCGCAATGTCGTAACCCCGTACTGTAGACCCTCTCCACCTTTCCATTTCTCTGTGATGGTGCCGGCAATGTAGGTGCTGCGATGGCCGAGTTCGTGCTTACCGGGGCACCGCTTTGGTACAATACAAGTACCGTATCTCTACCGCATCATCATCTGTGCACCGACCAGGTGGGCAGGAACGGGCCTTCTGCGCCGTACCGTACTGTGTCTTCGGGGAGTTGTGCTGGTTGCTCGGGTAGGTGCTCGAGTAGAGTGGGCTTACAAAGATTGGTTGGAAGGAAGGGAAGGTTGGGTGACTGGGAAAACGATGGGTTGTGCGGGTCTGGGTCCGTGGGCCTTTCGCGATTGGAAAGTTTACCGGTATGTGCTCGAGTGCCGCAGTATAGTTTGATATTGGGGGAATGTTTCGAGTAACAGTATATCAGCGAGATCTTGCAGGTACAGGACAGTAGTGCCCTGTACTCTGCCGTAGGAGTTGGATAATTCGGGCGCAGTGGCAGGTTACAGTATGCTGATTGGTTTTCGTGCAGGCATCTAGACGATAATGATGGGGAGTGGAGGGGCAAAACAAAAACGGGACATGCTTAACACACTAGATATATGATAATGGTATTTATGGACAAGCTCATTGAATAAGGGATAAGTGAATGAACGAACGAATAATGGTAATAGTGATGGTGACGATGCAAGTGTCACTCCGACAAGCAAAAACCAAATTCCCCGCTCTATCTTTGCAGGGCCAATGAAAATGACTGAAAACAATACATTTGAAGAAAAAAAGGGGGGGGGGGGTTTACCCCGTTTCAATTATTGGGCGCTAAGAGTGGACGACGGTGAGCGGCAAATGCGAGAGAGAAGTTATCAAACAAAGAAACCACAATTTTTTTGTGAGGGCAACGAAAGAGCAAGCATCCAATGAGAACTTGAGAGATAGAAAGGAATCGCTGAGGCATATTCAATCCAGTAGCTATGAAAAAAAATAACTACCGGATAGATATGTCCCAGATACAGATGCTTTGGACAAGAAGGGAGGGATGTTTTAATCCCCGAGCGCTTTCCTGAGATCGTTCCACCTATTCTTGAGGAGATCGTAGTCCTCGTTAACCTGCGCGCAGAAATTAGTGAGAGTCCATAACCGACGCAGGGAGACTTACGGTGGCTAGTTGCATCTTCGTGCCTACCAAATCCTTTTCCATCTCCAACATGCTCTCCTCTAGGTTCTGATTTTCCGTATGCACTTCTAGATTCCGTGTCATGAGCGTGTCCATTTCATCTTTGAAACGCTGCTCTATCTCTTGCGGCTGTTTGTCGACGATTTCTTTCAGTCCTTCGACTTTTGCTTTAAGAACCTCATTTTCATCGGCTAGCTGGTCATTATGGACCTTTAAACCAACCTCACTGCTAGCGATTCTAACATATTCTCTGTTCAACTCTTCATTTTGCTCCTCTAGTTTTTTCACCTTGATCGTCAGAGCAGCATTCGTCCTTCGTAACGTTTCAAGTTCTATCTCATGTTCCCTCTTCACCCGCATTATATCATCCCATTCTCTCTCATAGCGGTCAAGCATATCTTGCGTAATCTTGATGGTACAAGCATCCTGAACCATTTGGTTGGCTCTATAGAAATCCTTTTCACCACCGTTTCCGAAAAATCCAGCTTCCTTAACACTTGTTGCGCTCGGCGTAGTATCGAGGTAAACGTCGAAGAGCCGTTCTTTCAAGAAAGGTCCCAGGGCATCAAATTCCATTCCGATTAAGGACTCAGCATTTTTGCCCATGAGGACGATCCCAAATTTTAGGATCGGTCCCTCGAGACCCTCGCTGAAAAGGAGATCAAACACCCTCAATACCAGTTGCAATGGAAATTTGTACGTGAATAATGTAAGAAACCATTGAGCTGCGTAGAGTGAAGATTCAATGCCTTGGCGTTTGAGGTGGATCGCAAGCCGAGGCTGGTAATCTTCCAGGATGCGATCATATTGGAAAAGCCGAAGCTCGAGGCCTTTCATCTTCTCTTGAAACATGGTTCGCAGTTTATACTTATTCATGAGCTTAACAAAAACACAAAATGCTTCTTCCTCGGTCATCTAATCGGGTATAGATGTTTAGCATAACGACACTGGGGCAGTAACTGTGGAAGTTTTTTTTTTTTGGGGGGGGGGGGTTGGATTACTTACATTCAATAGCAGCACAGTGGCGATAAATGTCATACCTTGTGTATACCCTACTCTGGGATCAAACAATGCATATGCCTTACAAACACCCATCAAAGCCTTCTGGTCAACCTTGTATTTTCCGAAGCTCGTTCTTTCTCCTAAATCTCGCTTGATAACTTTTTCTAATTGGGCAACAGTCTTTCCCCAAAAGCCGTCGGCCCTCTTGACACCTGCGGGGTCAAGCTTCGGACTCATAGATGAGCCAAGCTTTGGTGAAGATGATTGACTAGACGAAGGAGAAGGATCCCAAAGCCAGTGGCTGCCAAATAATGTACGGGCGTCCTCAGCTGTTGCGGTTCCTGGGAGAGCGATCACATCTAGGTAAGCTGATTCAAGCTCCAGAGATTTGCTTGCGGCCATGCTTTGCCAAACAGTACCACGAAGGGTAGGAGGGATGCCCGCTTGAATCGCCCGATTGAGCTCACTTGGTTTCTCTGCAGCAACCTTGTAAGAATCATCGACAACAGCCTGCCAGAGATCCCAATCAATCTCCTCTTCTTGGCTACCGTTCGATCTTGGTACTGTACTGTCTTCGGGGGTGGGGAGACTCCCCACGCCCGTACCAATGGCTGCCGTAGATGATACTGAGCTTCTACTTCCAACCTCTCCGGTGTTCTCATCATCAGATGCTATAGCGGCTCGCTCACGCGCTTCTCTAAGCCTTCTGAAGCTTTCCTTCAAAGTTTGCGTTCCTTTTAAGAATGCATCCTTCTCCTTCTCGTCTCCCCTGTTGGACTCCATTCTGTTCAACAGTAATTCACTGTTCATCTGGGTTGCAACTGCGGAAGGTGTGAATAAGGATGCTACTGTCGCAATAGAGGAGGCAGTAGCTCTTCTGGAGTTTGATTGAGGCGGCTGTGGCGGTGGTGGGGTGACCGGCACGGTATTAGTAGCGCCCGAACGAAGCCAACTAAAAGGGGATCTTCTTGGTGGGGGAGCAGCTTTCGGGGGCGCTTGAGGTGGAGGGGGGTGTGGGGGAGCTATGATCTCTGTCGAGGAGTTTCTGGGAGGCAGAGCGGGCTTGGAAGTGGTCGTAGAGGTTTGAGAGCTGGTTGTCGAGGACCTAGAAAATCTGTTGGCAATGGATTCGACAATCGAAGTCGAAGCCGTCGAGGCTGTGGAGGGGGTTTCTGCTCGGGCAGCTGGCTCGCCAGACGGAGGCAGCTCGTCCATAAGCGATACCTCATCAAGGGAGGTTGTTGATATGCGGCGTTGACTGAGAGGAGACTTCGCCGGCGGGAAACCGCCTTCATTTGCAGACCCGTTTGTCGTAGTTGCAGGTGTGGTCGATTGTTGGCTGTGGCGTTTATTTGTTGTTGTCGGGGAAGTGACAGAAGGGGAGTCTGAGCCCTGGGCATCCTGCTGGGAGTGGTGAGAGGATGTTGTTGACTGCGATAGCCGGGTTAAAGGGCGTACGGGAGCCGCTGGAGTGACTGAAGACTCTTGTGCATCCGCAAATCCGTCTTCCGAGCTGAACTCCTTTAAATTTGATAGAGACATGTTAGCCGGAGAGGGAGAAATTTTGGCGTTTGTTGTCTTATATCCCAACGGAGTAATAAACATCTAATGGCAATGTGGTAGACAAGCGAAACAGGAAGAACAGAGTACAAGTAGATGAGAGAAGCAGACTTCGGGGCAGACAAGACTTTCAAGGGGCATGGGGAAAGGGGTTTAGTTAGCAAGGGAGCCCTGGGTTTACGAACCTCTGTATCATCCCGGTCCTCGTCCTCTCCATCCTCATCCTCATCCTCGTAATCTTCGTCCCCTTCATCACCACTCTCGTCGTCACTAAGTCTGGTTGAGCTCGACGTGGTAGAGTCTTTTTTCAAATTCCTTTCCGTTTCCGGTGCTTTGATTTTTAGACCAACAGGTCCAACTTCTCTCGTCTCGTCGTGATCGGACATCTCGTTAGGGGGGCACGGGTGCCAGAAGTGCTCTTTCGGTATTGTACTAGTACAGGGCAGCACTGATACTGTCTGCTAGATTTGGTTTTTGTCGTAAGCGAAGTTGTCAGGGGAATGCGGACTATCAAAGAAGATAAAAGTCTAGGGGGAGGTGTCGGTAATAAAAAGGGGACAGTCTGCAGTGAAGACCGGTGGAATTAAAAAGTATTGAAAACCCCGTGGTGTTCCCCCTGTAATGTCCAATGCCCATGGATATTTATTCTGAATGGGCCGGATAAGGTGATGGGGTGCACTCGGGCTTGTAGGTAGCACAAGACCGTTACTGTGTAGTTATTTTTGGAGAGGTGTCTAGTTGAAGTCTCCTCCGGAAACGACAGGCTCACGAAATCCTTGAACAAAAAGTGGTGTGCAAAAGAAGGCAGTATTTACGGCCAGCCGGTAGGGACAAGGATAGATTGGGTATCCGGATGGTTCTGGAGAGAGAGAGAGAGAGAGAGTTCACGCTCCAGGGGAGGGTGGGATGGAATGGAGAAAGAGCAGGAAAACTCCAGGATTTCTTAGCCAATTTATCTCCGGGTGTGCTGTTGACATATATTTTGGGCACATTCGACTGGGAATCGGTGAGACAAGCAAAAACACACGGTGCGGTGCGGCGGGTCGTGAACCGGACCACCGCAGCGGGAAGGGGATAGAAGGGAGCAAGGATATGGGAAGTGGTCTTCGAATCTATGGTCGTCAAGAGGTAAGTTACTGGAGTGTAGGCTTGGAGCTAGGAGCAGCAACGATCTGAAGCGTGTGCGTTGGGTCAGGAAACAGGCACGGACGGACTCAGCCGGGGGGTATCGGTATCGTATTACAAGCACTCGAGTACACATACTATGACAGACGAGATAAAAATGTTTGAATCCGGGTCAGCCTGAGCTTGGGTGAGTTTAGCTTTCTCCCTCCTTTTGAAAGGAGAGGAGTCGGAGGCAGTGCACAGTGCTGTAAACAAGTAAACAAAAGAGCTGGATGCGGAGCCTCTGTTGGCTGGAGTGAGATGCATGATAAAACGGTCGAGAGCTACGAACCTATCATGTAATCGTATCTGTCGTATGGGTGGGTTACTCCGCTGTCGGATGGGGGCCGAATGGAAAGCCCGGGTCCACCGGCAGTTACGAGTAATGTCAGGCAGACACTCCCCATGGCGGTGCGCAAATAGAGCTGTCGGGCCAGCAGGGAGCTCTCGCATTGGCGCATTGTGGTGAAAAGGTAATAGCCACAGCGTAGTACGGGCACTGGTAATGGGCTGCTTTTATTGAACTGCGTATGGTATTCGTAAGGGGCCGTGCAGTGATTGTGCGGGTACTGTACTTAGCTATTATGCTTGTACCGGTACACCAAGGGTTATCGGATAAGATCTGATTAGGGAGCTGTTGGAAGGATCGGGAGAGGGTTTGGGTGTTTCTTACGGTATGATATTGCAGATAGGTGTACGGTATCCAGTGATTGCTGGGCCCAAAAGTACTCATGGATGTGACCAGCAGCGGTGTCGTTTTGGAGGCGATCTATCGCGCGCCCGCGTACTGTGCAGCAGGGGGTTCATAGAAGTGCTGTGCGAGTGCTATAGTACTCGTACTGCACAGTGCTCCAGTGTAAGCTTGATGTGTTTGCATCGGGATCCCTATTGGATCCATGATACTACCGGTAGTATTGCTCCTATGGCGCTGCACTATATGATACTGGTACGAGTACCGTCACTATACTTGCAGGACTTCCACAGCCTACTGGCGTGGGTCTCGGGAAAATCTGTCGATTGGGATGGAACACCATTCGTATGATGCCCTCTAGAGCAGCATTAACAGTACCTTACATGGCGGTCGATAGAGAATTACGAGAATGTTACCGGTACAGTACATAGGACGGGAGCCCTCGAGCACCGTATACCACCAGTACCGCACACTCTGCTGAGTGGGCCTTGGGCGAAGGATTGGTTAATTTCGACAATATGGGCTGGTCTGCATACAATCACAGGTGGCGGAAGAAGGGATACGTGTATTTGTGGGGTTATTATAGAAAAGTTGGGAAATTCAAAAGGTATCACGACTCGGCGTAAGGTACTCGTATGGTACGGTAGACTATGCAATAACTTGTCGGGTGCCGGTATGTGGGTTACGAGCAGCGGGTTGTGTGTAACAAACCCCAGTCGTCACAGTTGCTTGTGGCTGCCTCGTCTTAAAGTGATGACTGCCATCCTCAGTTACCCTCAATCTAATCAGCTCTCTCTGCTCTAAACCATCACCTCTCCTTCCCCTCCATCCTACATCATCACCACAACCCCCGCTCTTTCCTCTCCCACCCCGCTCTCATTGATAGAATAGTCCAGCAATCTGGAGACCTGCACTCTCCTTCAGTCTGTTCTGTTCTTTCACCAATCCGATCTGTCTTCTTTTACAAACCTCCCCCCACTCATCTTTTCTTGCTCCAATTAAATACCCTCCTAAAATTCTCCCCCCGCTCTTTCTCACCGTTTCTACGTGTTACGAACTTGCTAACTACCCTTCCATTCTGCTAATAATAAAGCCCTGTGTTTTAGTGATATCTGCTGTTTTTCACTTGTCGAATTTCCGCTCCCGGTCAAGTCCGCGGGAGCGTCTGTTGCGCGGTTGGCACAAGGCGGACCTGACGTGACGCAAGCGAGCGGAACAAACTTTCTGGAATTGTGAGTGCACTGGTGCATTGTCTCCTTTTATCCACGGGCCCTTCGTGCGGCTTCATGATGGGAAAGGTTTCTAACTTTGGGCTCGGAAAAGAGTGTTGTTCGTCATTCGTTGCGATTAGGATCATAAAAGCTATCGACAACGCCATTTCCAATCATGAAAATCAAGAAGACTGCCACGGCCAAGCATGAGGCCACCCTTGTGGGTTATCCGCTCTGCCTCTTTCCTTGTCCTTCAATTCTGTCTTTAGACGCCGCATTGCATGCTTGGTGATTGTTCGAGACGTTGTGCTGATACCATCATCTCCTGTCTTAGTCTCCCTTTCTCAAGTCATTCATTACCACCGCCACATCAATCCCTATACCAGAGCTTTTACCATTTCTTTCAAAGTTTCCCGTGCATTGGCCGTTCCCTCGCGGCGACTTGTATCACTGGATAGCCTTATTGAATCGATTCGACTCTGTTTTGGAGGAGCAAGTACAAAAGTATAAGCTCAAAGAGGGGCCACAAACAATGCCGTGGGAGTGCCAAGATGAAGAATTGGTCATTGGGATTTTGAAGTTTAGTAGGCTGCTCGTCGAGAACTGTGGGAATCGGAGTCTCTATGGCAGCAGTGGGGTACGTCTGGTTTACGATTTATCGTTTGTCTGGATATCGAAATTGACTTTTTTACAGTTTATAAATGACCTACTCAATACAACCTCCCTAGATGTTTTAGAAGCGTCCCTACGCCTGGGTTCTCGTCTTGCTCAGAGATATCATACCTCTCGAACCCGTGGCGCTAGCCAGTCCACTAACGCTGTTCTGCTTGCTTCGCATTACAATATTAATCTTGAGAGGGTCTCAAAACTTGCTACTCCATTTCTCAAGAGTATAGCGGTTGCTGGTTTAGCTTCTTCTAGCAAGAATGTTTCGACGAAGGCGGTCGTTCCGGTCTATGCCAATGATCTTGCGAGGCTGGCGAGAGATGAGAGGCCGATAGATAGTGCAGAAGTTCTGGGCGGCAAGGGCAAAGGCAAAGGCTCCGAGGGCCGGGAGGGGTCTTGGGAAGAGTGGGGAGGTGCTTATGTTAGCTATTATGTTAGTCCTGCTGCGCAGAAAGCAGTGACTGTTCCGGTACCAGGAACTGGCTTTGTCTCTAGGGAGCCCGTCACACCTACCCCAGCTCGAAGGACCTCATTGCATCACGGCCATCAGACACCTGGCTCTGCTCATAACAGGAGACGGTCCACCGATGACGCTATTACCGATCCAACTGACCCCGCTGTCACAGGGGGCATGCAAACGTTAGAAATCCCATATAGCCAAATCAAGGCTGCGCCAAGCCCTGAAGATATCCTTAAGTCGACCTTACCTGAGATTCCTATCGATACTCATTACGACTTGTTACATCGCGTTCGTGTTGCTTCGGCGCTCGCTGGGACGACGGAAACGAGAAGACAAATTTTGGGGATCCGGATACTGGCGTTGACAAATCTTGCATATGTCTATTCCGAAAACCAGTTCACAACCAAGATACTGCAACCGGACCAGGATGAACCTCGAAGGTTCCAATTGGTGTATCAGCTTGCAGAGTTAGTCCACAGCGGTGATATAAAGGGAGCATCGGGGGATGGGAAGGACATTCCGAGATGGCTTCAAACGCTGGCGTTGGGAGGTTTGGAGGCTCTAGCGAGGCACAAGAGCAAGACCGCAGATGTTTGCGCTGCGCTAAGTGTTAATGTCAACCATGGGGTGTTGCTCTATGTTGTTCGGAAAGCTGTGGAGGAGTTGGCGATCGAGAAGGATGAGGAGGGATACGACAAGGAGGCTGAGGAGTGGCGGGAAGCTTTATTTACCTTGGTGGGATATCTACCGACTACTGCGCATGCTGGATCTTTGCTCGTATCTGCTGGTCTCATTCCTATCCTGGTGGAGCTCTTGCAACTGCGCACCAAAAAGGCCCTTCGGAACATCCCAAAGGCTCTTAGTTTTCTTGACTCGCTAATCTACAATGTCCAAAACGCCTTCCAGGCTTTGGCTAGTGCAAAAGGCCTAGATGTTGTGGTAGATCTTGTTTCGGATGAAGTGAAGGCGGGGTTAGAGGAAGCCGGGACCGGGAAAGGGATCCCGGATGAATATAAGAGCTCGACGACCGATTTCAAAATTGGGTTCTATCGCCAACAGACCCTTAAGATGGTTTTCAAATTTATGCAGCATATGATGGCCCAATCTGGAGGCAATGCGGATCGGCTGTTGAGAAATCTAATCGATAGCCCGAAATTGCTAAGCGCCTTGAAAGTAGTGATCGAGAATGGAGCCATATGGGGAAGCAATATCTGGAGCACGGTTGTTGGCATAGTTAGCGCCTTCATCCATAATGAGCCTACTAGTTACGCTGTTATTCATGAGGCTGGCTTAAGTCATGCATTGCTGGAGACTGTCACAGGAAGATCTGGCTTGGCAGAGGAAGAAGCAAAGAGGAAGAAGGACGAGGAGGATAGGGAGGTTGTGGCGGATAATGCGAGTACGGCAGCTACTGTGGACGTGGGCGATGAACCTATGGAAGAAGGCTCTACTCCTAGCGAGTCTAATGACAAGGGAAAGGACAAGGAAGACGCGTCGTCAGGGGACCGGAAGAGAGACCTGCCACCGAGACTACATCCTCCTGCCGTAGGTATCATGCCTTCGATAGATTCTATTGGGTCAATCCCAACGGCGTTTGGGGCTATCTGTCTTAATGCATCGGGCCTGGCGTTGTTCCAGACTTCTGGGGCGTTGGAGACTTTCTTCGAGATTTTCGAGAGTGCCGATCACGTTAAATGCCTGACCGAGCATGAATTGGCTAGTGTGCTGGGGAGCCAATTTGATGAATTAGTCCGGCACCATCCTGTCCTCCGGGAGAATGTGATGAAAGTTGTTGTCGAGATGCTGCAGAGAGTCGAAATCCTCGGTAGGAAGTTCGCCGAGGAGAAGGGGATGGGGGCAAAGCTATGGATTGAGGATGGATGTGGCGGGATGGTGGTTGCTGGGGGAAGGAAAGCATTGGTTGGGAGAATTCACAAGCACGCTCCTGAAGCCAGCGTGGGGTCTATAACGGGATCCCAGGGGAGCGATGGGGAAGACGTTGAGATGGGAGACGCCGACGCTGTGGCCTCCTCCACAGTTACTTTCGAAGGAGCCAGTCCGGATGGCGCACCCAAGGCCGAAGTTGTTGCTTTGAGTGACATTATTGATGAGGAAGCCGAGGATGCCGACAGAAGCCAACCTTCTATCGTTAACTTTATCGATGCTGCCGGCAGATTTCTGGAAGGATTTCTGGCAAATGCAAGTCTCTCGAAGGATTTTATCAAGCGTGGGGGTCTAGACTTTTTGCTTGACTTTTACACTGTTCCCAGCTTGCCTCACGATTTCGCTACCAGTCAGGCCAATCAGATGATGAGCCGTGTTCTCCAGGTTTGCGGTGAGAACAGCCCTCCAGCGACAGTTGAAGCGACTCTAAAGCATGCCCAAAGGGCCATCGATCAACTGCAACCTTTGCTCAGGCATGACAAGAAAGAGGCATTCTTTGCTCCCTTAACCGACCAAAAGGCCAATATTCTCCCCCCTTGTCCCCAAGGAGGAATCCCTGCTCAGAGCGATCATCGGGCGGCGGCATCTCCGGGCGAGGGTATTGTTGGAGGGGTTGAAGCAATTCAAGAGAGGTTGCCTCAAGATGTTAGACCCGGCGGTACGAGGCTTATTAAAGACCTGGTCACAGTGCATTCGCTTTGCTATCTTTTGCAAGAACTTTATGTCCAGCCCCTTTTCAACGTCCGGCTAACTCTGTCAATATTTATGCAACCTGAGAATGAAGCGATTATTTCGAACCTTGGCGCCCTGCACCGGATGTGTGTTTGGGAGGAAATACTGCTTCAGAATACCATCCCAGATACTTGGAATGAGGCTACCAGAGTTAAGAACTCTGCGGGAGCAGCAGCCGCTAGTATTGAGGAAGAAGCTGTTCCTGCTGTTGTCGCTACGTCAGCCGAGGGCCAGCTTCAGAGCTCGAGATCGCAAGATGAACAGAAAGAGGCCGAGAAAGCTGTTGTGGAGAGAGACGGGAAGACCCCATGGTTCCGAAATGTTAAAACAATAAGGTTTCTCATCAGCCAAATCCCTTCGAGTATCACTCCATTTTTGCAAGGTAAGCCTCCATTATGTGTGCTCCCAATCACATCAGCTTGTACTAATTCAGTGTTTATAGGCCTCGCCAGAAGCCTCATTTCTAGGAGGAGCAACGATCTACTCCATAAACAGCACGCTTTCAAAATTGCCGAGGCCATTTCTGAGTCCATGTATGATCATTTGACGTGGAAGAGACTAGGTATTGTATAACCATTCGGAGTCGGGGAAATGTTGCTAACAGCCATACAGATAGCAGCGATTCGGTCACGGATAAATACGGATATTGGATTGTAATGTTAACCTCTATCGCTTCACTCTTATTTGAAGGTGAGCAGCCCGCAATCCTGCTACTCACTCAACCGTGTTACTAATTTTGGGTATAGAAAAGGGAAGCGGTCAAGTTATTACTGTAACTTTGGTTACATTCAAACAAAATAATGGGATCAACGCCGTGACCGATATACTGGAAACCTTTTGGGGCGAAGTTCGGGATCTGCCAGCTCTTGGAGACGCGGAGCAAATCGGGAAAGATAGCCACCAGAGAATGGCACACGCATACGGAGGCATCAAGATCATATTGTCTTTGTTTACTCACTTGGTCTCAAACAAATCAGTCTTGGATTCTTCACAGACCGCTGCACTTCAAACTCGTGAACGCTCGAGTGATACACCTCGCCCTGATTTCTTCAACCAGCATCAGTTCCTCGTGGAGCTTAGGGCTAGTATTCTCCCGGTGGTTAGGAATATGTGGGACGCTAGTTCTATAGAAAAAGCCTCTTGTTCTATTGTTAAGTCTGTTATAGAGATTCTTGGAATCGTACTCAAAGCAGACAGCGAGAGCGGTGCATTTACTCGGAAAGAATTGGAGAAGAAAGGAAGGCTGTCAAATACGATCTCATGGAGGACGATGGAGCCAAATGAAGAGGGGATCAGGCAACTTGTTGAAATGGGGTTCACCCGGGAAAACGCCATGGTTGGGCTTTTGCGAGGCAATGGCAACGTTAACACTGCCACCGAATGGCTCACTTCGCAGGGTGTTAGGACTCCTCAGCGCGGCGGCCAAATATCTGCTTCCAGTTCTAGACCCCTAACAGCCGAATCTCATTCTACCGATGAAGAGGGGACCGATGTCGATGCTGCTAGGGAAGAACCTATCATCCCAGCGCAGTCGGAAGGGGTGGTTGAAGGAGGCGAAGCAGCTACCGAGTCAATTATGCCCCCCCCTGCACCGCCTGCACCTGCTGTCGACAGTGGAGTCCCTCCGGCTGATGACGGTGTGGTTGCAATGAACATCGACGAATCTAATGTTCAGACTACACCTCCGTTGGGCGAACCCCGAACCAGTGAACCCGCTGAGACCCCCCCGTCTGCCATTGAAAAGGGCAAGGCTAAAGAGGATGAAAAGGTCGAACCGCCAGTTGTAACAATCGAGGATCTGGATGAACTCAGATCTACCATCCGTGACAGACTTATCGATCGCTCTTTGGATGTTCTCCGTGTCCATTCAACTGTCACCTTTGAGCTCTCCTCTCTCCTCACCAACGCCTTTGGTAAGGCCTCAGAATCGCCGGATGTTAGGAAAGAGGTTGCCTCAACAATATTGCAATCACTGATGTCACTGCAAGCGGATGATGACCTTCAGCCTTGCGCCAAAACCATAACATCAACCTCTCACCTCCTCGGGCTTGTCCTTCAGAACCAAGACTTCTTTGATGCTTGTTTAGAGGACCTCAAAGAGCAAATTCCAACTCTCATTGGATTTATCAAGATGAATAAGGGAGAACCCGCTTCCTGGATCGCCAGTATCTTGTTGGTCGTAGAAAAAGTCTTGTCAGAGTCAGCCCAACCCAAGAGAGTTACATTTCCATCACCTCCTGGCGATCAAGAGCCAGAAAATATCGCCGAGTTGAATCCGTATAAGATCTCTGATGAAGATCAAGATGCGCTTTTCGGGGCTGTTACGGGTGTGGTTTCGGTTATCGGCAGAGATGAGGTTTTACCTTTAGCTGTGGCTCGTGTTCTGGTGTTACTCACCCGGAAGCGGGAGCTCGCAATTCGAATGACTGAAGGGGATAATTTGCGGGATCTATTCCATATGCTACGCTACCAAGCCGGCCTGAGAACAGAGCGTATTCAAGCGTCTATAATGCTTGTCCTTCGGCATATCATTGAGGACACAGAGGTTCTCAAAGCAATTATGAGGAACGAGATCCGCGCATGGTTCCAGTCGCGAGGCTCCCGTCAAATTGATACTCAGTCTTTTGTCCGACATAACCACCATCTTGTCTTGAGGGACCCGGACGCGTTTGTTGAATTGGTCAATGAGCTTTGCAAATTGACAAGATACGATCCACATTCAAGAAGTCAACAAATTGCGATCAAGGAAACAGAACGCCCTAAATCTGAAGCCGGACCGAAGCCAGAAGTTGAATTAGACCCAGCAAAGGAGGCTGAAGAATCGCGGGCTAAAGGAACCGAAGACAAGGAGATGGTCGATAAGCCAAAGCCTGTGGTTGAAGTTAAACCACCTGGGCTAGAAAACCCTGACGGAGTAATTCATTTCCTGCTTAGTGAACTTCTAGCTTCCAAGGATGAAATAGACAATCCTTTCCCCCCAAATCCTCCAAAAGAGGATAATGCACCGGCGCCAATGGATGTCCAAATGGAGCAAGGCGAATCTGCGGGGAAGCCCGCTGAGACAACGCAAGCGAACTCGCCTCCCAAGCTAGAGAAACCGGAATTTAAAGCAGAACAACACCCTATATTCATTTACCGATGCTTTATCTTGCAAGCTTTAACCGAATTGCTATCTTGTTATAACCGCACAAAAATAGAGTTCATTGGCTTCTCCCGCAAAGCGGCGCCGAGGGAAGCGATTATACCGTCGAAACCGAGATCTGCGGTCCTGAATTACCTGCTTAACGATATCATTCCTCTGGGTACTTTGATACATACTGAAGACATTGCATACAAGAAACGTGCGACGACATCACAATGGGCAATCTTGGCTATTGTTTCCCTATCGGCCCAGACCGGGGAGTCCTCTAGCACTGAGGATGAATCAACTCTTCTCTTTGTGAGAAAATTCATCCTTGAGAGCGCGCTCAAGGCTTTTAAGGATGCTTCTTCTTCCGTGGAACCGCTAGATGCGAAATATTCTAGAATGATGAGCCTTACCGACCTGTTTTTCAGAATGCTGTCTGCACGGCCAAATCACAACCATTCACCAAACAGTGCTCCTTCGGGGGAATCCCAGCAACAAATTGCTCGGATCATGTTTGAAAAGAACTTCATTGCTGCCTTGACTGGATCCCTTGCTGACATCGACTTGAATTTCCCCTCGGCGCGAAGGGTCATCAAATACATCCTCAGGCCACTTAAACTGCTATCTAAGACAGCCACCGATCTTAACGAGATTTCCAGTATATCGACCCCTGGAGCCACCGATGAAGATGAGATATCCACGGCCACTTCTATTTCTGACATCGGGGATATGCGGGAGGATACTCCGGATCTATATCGAAACTCGACTCTCGGAATGTTTGAGGGTGAAATGGTTGATGATGAGCATAGCTCCTACGATGAAGATGACTACGATGACGAGATGGATGACGATGAGATGGAATTGGAGGAGGAAATGGAAGAAGAGGGTGATAGTGAAATTAGTGATGAGGAAGATGAGGAAGGAAGGGAGGGTATGGATGTAAGTGACTGTTTTTCCTTTGGCACACATGGATAGGAACTAATGGCAAATAGGTTGAAATCGTCGTTGAAGCAGAGCAGGAGAGTGAAGACGATGACGGCGATGACGACGATGACGACGATGACTCGGACGATATGGACGATGAGGTCGAAATTTTAGATGAAATGGCCCAAGATCAAGTTCATTACGGGAGTGGTGGCGAAGAAGACTGGCAATCAGAGGGCAGTGAGGGTGAGGAGGACCAGGGTGATGAAGTACTGCCCGACGCTATTGAAACGATTGTTCGTGCTCCTGGAGGGTCTGACGAGGCACCGGAACCTGGCTACGAAGATCGGGATGATGGATTTATCGATGAAGATGCCGAGGAGGATGACGATGACGATGACGACGACGACATGGATGAAGAAGAGGCAATGATCCAGGAGGATTATGAAGACGATGAAGGTGCGTTCTCGGCCGTCCCCTGGGGCTGGGCCGATGAAACAGGAGAAGCTCCAATGATGGCTCGTGCTCATCCTCGTGGCCATGGCGGATGGTATGCACTTGGTGGGCCTCCTCGTGAGTCTCCAGTATTCAGTAAGGCCTTAGTTTCCCCAACTCATTTAAGAACTTGCATCTAATATCTACAGTGTCAAACGCAGCACGCCCTCGTCACTACATGGGTAGTGCGGCTCCGAGAGCCACCGACAATGTGGATCAAAATCCACTTCTACAACAGAATTCCAATAACGAACAGGCCAGTGCCCGGCCAACCCACAACCGCAACCAGGAATTCATGACAGATTGGGTACAGGCCATTGATGGAATGCATGCGGGTGGCGGTCCGGGTGGTACCGTTTCTATGATTAGCACCCTTATGAGTTTGATGACTAGGACCGGCCAACCTGTTCCCGTTATTTCTAACGGCGGATCCATTCAATTTCAGGCCCTCCCTCATATTGCTCACCACCACCACCACCACCACCCCCATGCACCCCCGTTCATGCCTCGAGAGATACGTTCTATGTTTGAGGCGGTTCGACCACAGCCAGACATGCCACGCCACCATCGAGAAGACCCTCAAACGGCAGTCAATAGCTTTATCCCAACGCTGACCACCGGTAGATGGAACGAAGAATCCAGACTATTGTTTGGCACCAGTGCTCCAGATCGTGCTCAAAAAGTGGTTAATGCTATCTTAGTCCTTTTAGTTCCCCCGGCCATTGAGGAGGAGAGAATCACGAAGGAGAAGCAAGAGAAAGCGCGGTTGGAAATGATTCAAATTCAGGAAGAGCGCAAGAAGAAGGAGGAGGAGGAGAGGATCGCTCGAGAAAAAGCAGAGGAAGAAGAAAAGGCTAGGAAAGAGGCCGAAGAGCGGGAAGCCGCCGAACGGGCGGCTGCAGAGGCGGCGGAGGCGGCAGAACTAGCGGCGGCTGCTGCTAGCGAGTCTGAGGTTCCTGATGGCGAGAATAGCCCGAAGGAGGGTGAAGCCATGGAGGGTGTTGAGGCCACTCAAGGTGAAGCAGCAGGGGTTGAAGCAGGCCCTTCGGATCCTCCGGCGCCGCGGGCCACTGTCATGATTCGCGGACGCGAGATGGACATTACCGGGATGGATATAGACCCTGGATTTTTGGAGGCATTGCCGGAGGAGCTAAGAGAAGAAGTCCTAACTCAGCACATCCGGGAGAGGCGTGCGGCAGCGGCGACTAATGACCAACCGAGCGAAATCAGCCGCGAGTTCCTGGAAGCCCTACCTGATGAGATTCGTGATGAACTACTCGCCCAAGAAGCAGCTGACCGCCGTCGCCGGGAACGGGACCAGGCTCGACCGCCGGGGGCCTCGGCAGGGCCGGCCGACCTAGATCTCGCGAGTTTCCTTGCAACCCTCGAGCCCGATCTTCGCCAGACGGTTCTACTTGAGCAAGATGACGAGGCTCTAGCACAGCTACCCCAAGCGATTGTTGCAGAGGCAAACCAACTTCGCGGGGAACGGCGGTTTAATCAATTTGTGGAAATGCCCAGGGTCGCTCGTGTAAGTGGTGTACGACACCCGGGTGAACCGGAACCAAAACCAGTCAAAAAGCCGCTTCGCAAGAGTGTAATCCAATTGTTGGACAAAGCTGGTGTTGCTACTCTTCTGCGGTTGATGTTTATTCCTCAAGTTGGGAGCACTCGCATTACGCTGCACGAAATCTTGCTCAACATTTGCGAGAACAGACAAAACCGTGCGGAGGTTGTCAACCTTCTTCTATCTATTCTACAGGACGGTAGTTCGGACATGGCGGCGGTTGAACGAAGCTTTGCGCAATTGTCGGTGAGGGCCAAACAAGCACCTGCCACAAAGACTCCAACAGCAGCGGTTAAACGAACCGGGACTGGGCTACTAGCTCAAACTAGCAGTGAAGTTTCACCCTTGATGGTTGCTCAGCAGTGTCTAGGTGCGTTGCTGTTTTTGGTCAGTTATAACGAACACATACCTTCGTACTTCCTCAACGAGCATGATATCTCGGTCGGACTTAAGAGGTCTACAAGCCGAAAGGGTAAAGGAAAGGAGGTTCCTCCGCCCAAGGCCAGTAAATATGCCCTGAATACGCTCCTGAGCCTTTTGGATCGCCGGTTAATCACTGAGAGTTCAACTGTGATGGACCAGCTCTCGGTGTTGCTATCAGATATTACTAGGCCTCTAACATTTCTTCTCAAGAGGGAGAAAAAGAAGCCGAGTGAGCAAAAGCCAGCTGATCCTGCGGGAGAGGCAGAGCCTACGACTACAGAGCCTGCCAATGAGAATACAACGGTAGCTACTGAAACCTCAGCTGCGGTGACTGAAGGGGGCCAATCTAGCGAGAATAAGGATGACGCGTCCAACAATGATCGTAAGAAAGATGACGATAGGCGAAGGAGGCTGCGCCATTTGGTCCCTCCAGTTGTTCCAGAGCACAACCTTCGATTGGTTGTCAATATACTTACCGCCCGGGAATGCTCAAGTAAGACTTTCCGTGAAACACTCGCAACCATGCAAAACCTTTCTGCGATTCCGGAGGCGAAGGTGGTTTTTGGTGCAGAATTGATCAGGCAGGCACAAGTACTTGGCGGCACAATTCTCGGGCATCTCGAGGTGTTGGTGCATCAAATCAAGAATGCTGAAAACGGGACGGAAATCCAAGGGATGGCCCTATCAAACTTTTCGCCAGCGAGCTCCGACCAGGCCAAACTTCTCCGCGTTCTTACGGCACTCGACTATCTCTTTGACCCCAAGCGCCCAAGTAGGGAGGTCGTGAAGGATGGCGAGCCCAAGGATGAAGAAAGCAAAAAAGAGCGTGATGTACTCTCAAATCTTTATGAGAGCCTTACCTTCGGGCCGTTATGGTCAAAGCTCAGCCAATGCCTTTCTGCTATTCATGAACGCAACGACATGCTCCATGTGGCAACCATTCTCTTGCCATTGATCGAGGCCTTGATGGTGGTTTGTAAGAACAGTGGGTTGAAGGAAGCACCAAGAACTCAACGAGGCCAGACGCCGATGAGCCCCGTAATGGCGGGAACGGGCATGGAAGATCTATTCTTCGAATTCACTGGGGATCACCGGAAGATTTTGAACCAAATGGTTCGCAATAACCCGAAGTTAATGAGTGGCTCCTTTGCGCTTTTGGTTCACAATCCTAAAGTACTGGAATTTGATAACAAGCGCAACTACTTCAACCGCCGCCTCCATACACGCCAGGGCAACCGCGACCCTCATCCAACATTGCAGCTCAACGTCCGCCGCGATCAAGTATTCCTCGATTCTTACAAGTCAATGTATTACAAGAATGGTGACGAGATTAAATACGCTAAACTTAGTATCCGGTTCCATGGTGAGGAAGGGGTTGACGCTGGTGGTGTTACCAGAGAATGGTTCCAGGTTATGGCAAGGCAAATGTTTAATCCCGATTACGCGCTTTTTATCCCTGTCGCTTCCGACAGGACTACATTCCACCCAAGTCGTATGAGCGGTGTCAACCCGGAACATTTGAGCTTCTTTAAGTTTATTGGAAGAATCATTGGAAAGGCTTTATACGAGGGGCGTGTACTGGATTGCCATTTCAGTAGAGCAGTTTATAAGGTAGTTCTCGTTTTATTCCCTTTAGTCGGTGCCTAAACTAACCATGAATATAGCGCATACTTGGGAAGTCTGTCTCCCTCAAGGATATGGAAACGCTGGATCTTGACTATTATAAATCTTTGGTTTGGATGCTTGAGAACGACATCACCGACATTATCACAGAAACATTCTCGGTTGAAACAGATGATTTTGGCGATAAGAAAATCATTGACCTTGTACCAGACGGCCGCAACGTGCCTGTAACGGAAGACAACAAGCATGAATACGTCCGGCTGTTGGTAGAGTACAGGCTCCTTACAAGCGTCCAAGAGCAAATGGAGAATTTCCTAGTCGGTAAGTTGAAGCGTGTCCACCCGCCCTTCCCCACTATTCTCTAATGATCCTTTAGGTTTCCACGACATCGTGCCAGCGGAGTTGATCTCTATCTTCAACGAACAAGAACTTGAACTCCTGATCTCTGGTTTGCCCGAGATTGATGTTGACGACTGGCGCAACAACACCGAGTATCATAACTATTCCGCTTCCTCGCCACAAATACAATGGTTCTGGCGTGCGGTCCGATCATTTGATAAGGAAGAGCGTGCAAAACTCCTTCAGTTCGTTACGGGAACTAGTAAAGTCCCCCTCAACGGCTTCAAAGAGCTGGAGGGAATGAATGGCTTTTCGAAGTTCAATATACATCGAGATTATGGGAGCAAAGATCGCCTCCCTAGTTCCCATACCTGTTTCAACCAGATCGATCTACCCGAATACGATAGTTACGAGAACCTGAGGCAAAACATCTTGACAGCAATCACTCAGGGGGCAGAGTAAGTGTACCAATCAGTCTGAGTGCTAAGATTTTGCTCCTTTACTAACAAGCGTTACAGATACTTTGGGTTTGCTTAACCTTGCGGCATTATATTTTTCCTGTTTCTTTTTGCCTTTTTTCCATTCTAAGTTGTAATGAAGTGGGGAGAGAGGTTCGATTGTGGATAGAGATTTCTGGGGAAAAAGGGGGTAGTGTGGGTTTTGCTTTGATTCTCATTCTGGAAAGGTGTTTTCTTTTCTTTTCTTTTTTTTACAAATCATGTTTTTCGTCCAGCTCCTTCTTCTCTACTTGTGGATTCGGGTTCTTGTCACCAGAGCATTATTCTTAGCATTAAGGAAGACGCAGAAGAGGTGCTTCTGTGGATACGGGCGGCCAAGTGCAGGTTGGCTTGCTTTCGTTGTCTACTGTTGTTTTCTTTGCGTAGGGAAGTGGGTTTTTGTGTGGCAAGCCTGTATGTTAAGCTCGACTTTGCGTTGCGAGACGTTATTTTCATGGCGGTTAATCAAATAGGTCGAAGACCATTCATTTCATTCTCAAAGCGCAAGGTGGTGGGTGGTGAGTGACTGGAGAAGCGTAATCTGGTTTGCAGGCGGGTATGATATAAATTTAATAGTACAAGTACTCGTATGAATTCTATAACGTGGCGTATCGTTACCGTATGAGGGAAGGGAAATGTGGGGGGGGGAGTGCCCAGTTCTGATGCAAATTTTTACCCCCCAAATGGACCTATCATGCAAACAGCTCGCCTCCATACGCTACGGCCCTCGTGAAGAACTCAAGTCGTGATATCATATCCAGAGCACTTGCATATCGGTGGACTGATTAATCATATACTATCACTCGGAATGAAAAAAAAGGGGGAGGATTGTCTCTCGTTCTCTGGGAGGGCTCCCGTGATACCACACTGGCCCAGTCAGCCTATGGGTGATGGCCTAGGTAATGCGGCGGTGCCCTCTGTCCCGCGATATATCATGCTACGATCCTAACGACTGAGGGTGGCGTTTCGGTACGATACCGTTAGGCAAACCTCATAGGACAAGGCATGTGCCGGCTGAATCCGCTGTGCGATGATGCCGGTATCGTCACCACCGGTAATAGTCCTAAAAGAAAAAAGACAGAAAAAGAAATCGCACGGTAGATACTGGGCTCGCCTCTGTCACGGTACTGTAATTTAGGTGATGGAGATGCGCACTCTATGGATGGGGCTTTACGTTTTTTTTTCTTCTTCTTTCCTTTTCTCTAGATTTCTGGTTATGGGTGGTTGTATGCGAGAGGGCGGGGGTGGTGCAGTGCTATAGTCTACTCGAGTACCGGTCCCGGTTGCACGACAGTGGCGGGTTTCACGTTAGTCCAAGTACCGTAAGTGTTCACACAGGAAATGGATGGATGGAATGACATGGCGCAATTCCTTCCCTCAACGTCCGACAGAGCACCCGATCTCGGGACGCACGGGCCATCGCTCGTTGCTTTGCCCGGAGAAATGGTGTTGGATGTGATGATGATGATGATGATGGCGAAGAGGGAGATGGGGGGGAATTGCGATCGACGGTAAATCATAGATTCAGATTTTCTTCACTTATCGTTATTATAATATTATACCACTTGGGACGGTCGGGTATGCTCGAGTACGAGTACCGGTACGAGCAGTGTGTAAATCACGATATGCGCGGGGAGGTTGGAAGAGGGGGAGGAGGATGGGAAGCCGCCGGTCGGAAATGTGCCCTATCACGAGCCTCACCGTGATGGAGATGTGCTTCTGCGCGTGTAAGTGCTATACCGGCACTGCACAGCACGATCGTGCACTCTCTCGCAGTCTACTCCCCCCACCGACTGACTATCTCCGCAGTATCCTGCCCTATTATGTATCAGTTTGTAGTGATCTCTCCTCGAGTAAGGTAATAGCCTTGCCGGCACCCAGCCAGCCAGCCTCGCACCGTAGTTGAGGAGAAGGACACAATTCGCTCCTTGGGAATCACCTGGCGTGCTCCCGCTTTCACCTTCCTTTCCCCCTCTCCAACCGGTTTATAATATCTTCATTCATTCACTCTTTCATTCACTCCTTCCTTTCCTTTCTTTTTTTCCTTTTTTTTTTCCTTTCCTTTTCACTCCCTTTCATCCACTCCTGCTCTACAAGGACTCGATAGGAGTAGACTAAGTTACCTCCTCCTTCATTCGTTCCCAAGGTCATACAGCTGTTTCCGACATATTGGGGACCCTGCTGTGCAAGTACCGTACGGTATTGCAGTGCTCTGCGGCTTCAGGAGCGCCTGCGGTCAATCTGAACCAGTCATACAGTAGGATTTTCTACAACTCAGCCCACTACGAGCACTCCTCCTGCTTGTCTCACCCTGCAGAAGAACTGCGGTCTCATACACACGAAGCAACCAAACAACCAAACAACCAAACAAGCTATCGGAGCCTCCCCAGGTTCCCGGGATTTCTTGGGGAGGGATCCCCGTGGGTACTTGTGCCTACCCCCCAACCTCCGCTCTGGGGAAATAACGAAGAGAGCTCGAGGAAAAAAGAAAAAAAAATAAAGAGAAGAAGGGAAGTTGAGCGAACACGATACGGCAGTAAATCTAAGCAATTGGGTCTGTTTCGCTCTTTCAGCCCTTACGGAAAGGAGAAAGAGGACTCTATCGCCATTTCTAGAGCAGGGAGAGAGAAGAGACACTTCCGGTGTGTAAGATTATTATTTTTACTTTTTTTCTAATATTTCTTCTTCTCCATGCTCCACTGGTTCGCATCCGTACCAAGACGCCTCACATCATCACCTTCCCCTCCTTCCTTCTCTTCTCTTCTCTTCCCTCCCTCCCCGCCCCGTTTGCCGTACCCGCAACCCTTAACGGCGGCTGAAGAATGTCCGATCATCACCAACCCATGCCCTTCAGCGGCTAACACTCTAGCAGGGAGGCGCTAGAAGGAGAAAAAAAAAAAAAAAAAAAAATCGGGTATGGTAAGAGTAGCCCAATTGCCCATCTAAGCCCAATTTTTCTTTTTCCTTTTTGGTGGGAAAAATCTGTTGTTTTTTTTTCATTTTTTCGTTCCTTTCCTTCTTGCTTCCATTGGTCCCCGTGGCCTTTGTACCTTCTAGTTCTCGGATTTAACCTTTTTTTTTAACATCATACGGTAAGCTTCAGCCGGGGAGTTTTTTTTTAAAAAACCCCCCATTCCTTCTTCATTCTTTCTCGTCTCTTCCACTCTTTGTCACCGCCCAAACTTCTTCCCGAAGGACTCAACATCCTGGCTACTCCAATTTTCTTGTTCCAAGTCGGACGCTATGGCTGCCAACTCTATAAAGCTCTTGACGGGCAATAGCCATCCTGATCTGGCCCGGAAAGTTGCGGACAGGTATGTGTCATTTCTGCTCATACAACCTATGGCGGGCCGCACAATTGGGTTGGGATGAAAGCAAAAGCAAAGCGATGGAATCCGTGCGCAGTTTTTCTAACCATTTTCAGACTCGGAATAGATCTCACCAAGGTTCTAGTCGTGCAATACTCGAACCAGGAAACCTCTGTCACCATTGGCGAATCCGTGCGGGACGAAGATGTCTTCATTATCCAATCCGCAGCTCCGGGAGAGGTGAACGACGGGCTCATGGAACTCTTAATCATGATAAACGCTTGCAAAACAGCGAGCGCCCGGCGAATCACAGCTGTGATACCAAACTTCCCGTACGCAAGGCAGGACAAAAAGGACAAGTCCCGGGCGCCCATTTCGGCGAAATTAATCGCAAACATGTTGCAGACCGCGGGTTGCAATCACGTCATCACGATGGATCTACATGCAAGTCAGATTCAGGGTTTCTTTAATGTCCCGGTTGACAAGTAGGCTTCCTCCTTTCTTCCCCGCTCCTACCTATGATACCTGCCTTGCACTTTCTTTTAGGAGGGGAGGACGGTTTGGGGGGGGGGGGGGTCTGGTTCATCTAGGGATGGAAGAGAGACTGAAACAAGGCTTTTTTTTTTTCCCCTTCATCGGTGTCCTCCACAGTCTCTATGCCGAGCCTTCCATGCTACAATACATTCGCGAGAACTTCAATTACCGCAATGCCGTCATAGTTTCTCCAGATGCCGGCGGTGCCAAGAGGTGAGCATCTTTTAAGGTATTCCTGCAATTCGCCTACTCTAACGGCATGGCAGAGCGACCGCGATTGCGGACCGCCTGGACCTAAATTTTGCCCTGATCCACAAGGAGCGCTCCCGACCAAATGAAGTGAGCAGAATGGTCCTGGTTGGCGACGTCCAGAACAAGATTGCAATTCTCGTGGATGACATGGCAGACACCTGCGGCACGCTTGTAAAGGCTGCGCAAACGCTCAAGAAGCACGGCGCCCAGGAAGTTGTCGCAATTGTCACGCACGGCATCCTATCAGGGAATGCAATCGATAGTATTAACAAGAGCGAACTGGGTAGGGTAGTGGTTACGAATACCGTTCCACATGGCGAGAAGAAGAAGCGGTGCCCAAGGCTTCACACTATTGACATTGCTGCCACGGTTCGTTCGCAGTATTTGATATTCCCGGGCTATATCTGGGAATATACGCTAATGCGTGATATACAGCTCGCCGAGGCATGCAGAAGGACACATAACGGTGAAAGTGTTTCGTTCCTCTTCAGCCATGCCCCGACCTAGGGGTGCCCCATTGAAGAGGAAAAAAGAAAAAAAGAAAAAAAAGTTCATAATGTTTATTATACTCCCAGAGAGGCCATAGTTGCGTCTTGTTTGTCCGTTCGTTACTCCTTGTCAGTCCATTACTCTCAAGGGTGTATAGCTGCGTTGTCTGGTCCCTATCTTTCTTTCTTTCTTTCTTTTCAAACTTTCTTTCCACAAAAGGGGCCCCTGCATCAAAATTTTTTTAAAATATCATAGAGTCATAGTCATCGAACAACAGACGGCACGAGGATCGATCAGGGTCGAAAAGGTCGGTATCTGAGTCAAGTCGTTATAGCTAGTGTATGTTAGTTTTTTTTTTTTTTTTTCAGAAATCGCAACTCACTCTACTTGTACGAAAGCGGGTAATGATTTCAACATCAGGTTTGACAGAGTGCAGTTAGACCTGACCAATGGTGGTTTAGTGGTCTGTGTGCGACACGTATGTATGTATGCACTGGTATGTATGTATGTCGTGCTTGACAATGTTGCCGATTCTCCCGTGCCGTGGGATGTACTGTACATACATAAGTTACATGTGCCGTCGGTCGATCGGCCGGTTAGTCGGTCAATAACATAACAGTTAGTTACCGTAAGTCGAGACAATTGAAACAAAACGGGATTAGTAATCAGTGGAGAGAGGAGTGATCACGGGGGGGGCTTTTTTTACTCGGAGATGGAATGCGGAATCGGATACGGTAAAGTATGTGATGCGTCGAAGTGCGAGGAAGTTGTGTGCACGAGTAGAGTAGTAACCGGCAGCCGGCACCGGTACGACAGCTGTCCATACGGCGGAGCAACGGCCAGTGGCACCGCACTGTACGAGTACGGTAGCGTAGGGCACTTTATATCCAAAAGTTGAGTCAAAAACACGACTTTTTCAGCGCTATAGTACCGTAACAGACACGATAAAATAGAGGAAAGGTATCATACCATACATCCTGTCACTTATCGTGGTGCCATCACACCTGTATCATAGCCAATACGGTACAGTACAGCTCAGTACCGGTACCGGTACGAACTTGTATCATACCGTAGTGCCCTCATGTTAAATTCCGATAATCATTCCCGTGGCCGTCCGCTGTCGCCGGCGACCTGCCCACCGCCCGCCCGCTGGCCGCTCAACTCCCCTCCACATGGGTTACGACAAGTTGATAATGTTATGATAGCGTATATGATACAATGGTATGGTATGTATTATCATGTATTATAATATATAGTATTTGACCCTCAGACCATCGTACCCAACTCTACTGTATATACCGTACCGCTCTCTTTCTTTCTTTCTATACCTTGCCCTTCCTTACATCTTATATTACCGCAACACATTTTGTTCACTGGCAAGTTGAGTCAGTCGGTCAGTCAGTCAGTTATTTATTTACCGCGCTGTACTCGATTATTGTAGATTCCGGGTCAAAAGGTTACTCGGTTCCATACCGTACCAGTACTAGTACTAGTAGAGTATACCGGTATTGTAGTATGAAAAGTTACCACCAATCGAGAAGTAACAAATAAATAAAGGAAAGCAAAAAAAAAAAAAAAAAAAACTTACAACCCCAATAAATCTCAAACAAATGATTTCCGTAGCGTTAAAGGCGTAAGGCACACAAAAAAAAAAAAAAAAAAGAAAATCCAAGTCACGAGTACCATAAATCAAGTTATCATAGTTAGATAGTTCTAACGAAATTATCTAAATTAGACTAACTAACGGCGCAACCACCCGCGTCCGGCAACGCACAGTAACAAGTACCAGTACAGGAATAAATAAAAAAATTAAAAAAAATACTGTACAGCCGGCGGGCGAAACCTCCCACCCCACAACCGCCAGCAAACTTATTATAGATGCAGAAATGGCGTGTGATTACCGGTATCCCCACCACTCCGGGACGTACGGTGGAACTGACGAACGGAAATCTTCGTCGATATCGCGTTTGATGGATGGTCTCCAGCGATCAACTCGGACAGTGTACAGCCCAGCAACCCCCGCGGCGGGAAGGCACAGGCACAGGCACAGGCAACCGTGCGAGCGAGAAGGGGCGCAGGGCGGAAGCGTGCTTGCCGGTTTGTACTCGAGTACAGTACTCGTACAGGTACTATATTCGAGTACCGTAGTCTATACACGTCCAGTCCAATTCGTTCGTTAGTTCGTTCGGATTGGGGAAAATGGAAAAGGGGAGGGAGAGGGAGGGGACACGCTCTGGATGGATGGATGGATGGCGTTGTTGGGGTGGGAGGCCGGCTCCCGTCGGACGTTATGTGCTATACGAGAATAGTATAATACGTGATACACATAATTATTTATATATCATACATATGTGATTTTTTCCGTAGGGGGGAAAAAGGGTCGGTATCTGTGCTGGCGGTACTGTACCGTAGTTATATTATCTTTGGCTATGGCAGCTGGTCAGTCAGGAGCTTTTAGCATATATCGCACCATACTTTAATTTCCAAGTCGAGTGATACATAATGATCAAGAATGTTATAATGGTTATTGTTACCGTATGATAGTATGCCTCCGGCAGGTATGATATGATAATCTACCGGTATTTCTAGCCCGTACAGTACAGTACAGTATCATTCATACTCGAGCACATACTCGTACAGGGTTAGACTGCCGTCACCAAATCACAGCCCAGCCCACGCGAATACCCTGCAGTAATGACGTTTCATGTCCATGTCGGATCGGCCAGCCTTTACTCGTACATACCGGTAGTTAAATGGAGTGCAGGTACGCCAACAGCCCCCAAGGCGTTAAATGAACAAACAGATACCCTACCCAAGAGATGAACACCATCCCACCCACCTCCACGCACCGTGGAATCTCTCCCCCGCTGTAACAACACTTGCCATCCGGGCAGCAACCCCAACTGTGAACCCTCCCTCCCCCATACCTTTCCCCTTCTTCACTGCTATCACTGTTGCTAAAAGGGCCCCCTACCGGATACCCCGTCCCTAGCATCCTGCTCCTTCACCGGATTTCCCAATCCTATTCGGTGAGTGGGTGACTACGGGCTTTACACCTACGGCGAGTTATGTGCTGTGCTGCATTTTCATGTGGACTTTCTCCCGAATACTGATTGGTTGATTGGTTGGTTGATTAATTTTGTGAGCAAGCTTATGGCATGGTCTCGTATAAATGTGGGGGAAATGCGGAGTGAGTTTTTTTTTTGGGGGGGGGGAGGGAGGGGTTACATTTTATTGGTGGGGGATGGTGCTGGGATACCGGGGAACAGAGAGAGAGCACAGGGGCAAGGCGAGGTAAGAGAACGTGGTGGGGCAGGGTTTGGGGGTGTTGAGATTGCTTATTTTTCGCTCTTTATTCGGGCAATGAGCTCACAAGAAAACTAGATCTGTGCGAGTAGAAAGGGTGTCACGTCGGTTCGTTGGATCCAAGTCATCTTGGTGGAGGATGGCGAGGCCGGGTAGGGATCTGAGGAGTGTCTAACGTCAGCAGTGTTTCCTAAGAACAGAGTGGGAAGAAGCAGATAAAAACAGGGCGCAACAGGAGATCAGACAGCAGTTGGCAATAAATAACGTCCACATGCGGATATTCAGAACAGGTCTGTGTGAATAATGCGTTTTCATCATTTCGTGTTGCACCCGTGGCGGGTGGGGGGAAGGAGAGAGGAAGGAATGTTTAAACCTACAGTTCTAGAGTGCGGAGCCTTCTCCAGCTTTGAAAAACTCATCAATCCTTCTCTGCGTCCCATCGGCAGCTGCATCTTTGGCGGCGGTCTTTCTAATGCCAGTCAGGTGGGTAGTAACATTGATACCGTGAATTGAATACGGCCACAACGCTAATCCACGACTATCCGTCCACTTTGTTCGGGGGTCAAATCTCAGATGAAAGTACCCCGTGTTGCTCCACCTGACCTTTCTTGAATCTGGCAAGTACCGTAGATGCCTCATGAGCTGCTTGCGCAAAATCTGGAGAAATATACCGTGGGAAACAACAGCGATGGCCACATTTACGACCGATGCAACTGGTGCCATATGCACCGCAACGAGTGCGGGAAGAAGGTGTTGGTTCAGGAATCGGTTAGCCCGGGCGACCATGGACTCGGTCGTCTCCCTACCATTCTCGAAATCGGGGCGTGAAGAATGAGCCCGTCTGTATGGGGCGCCTTCCTCCGAGCCAAAGTCCATTTCCCGCAGATCCGGCAGCCGCAAGACATCTTCTGCTGGCTCCAATGAGGCATTATCGCCGTTACCCTCATCTACCCCTCTGGGCTCGGCCAGGGGGTTTTGACCGTTGGCGATGGCAGCGGACTGTGCCTCCAGAATTGCTCCGGCAGTTTTGGCGGCCCGTTGGAGGTCTGATGAGTATATATGTGTTAGAGTGAAGTTTTCTCCATGCTTGCTGGTGAGGTAGGCTCCTAGTCTGGCTGCCTGAAGTGAGCCATTGGGCGTTAGGGCCGAGTCGGTCACTCCTGCGCTGTATGAATCATAATGTTAGGAGAAAGGTGGTTTCTCTTTTTTTTCTTTTCGTAAATGAAGGAGGGGGAATAGAGGAGGTGGAGTGAAACTCACAGTCGGTGAGCGACATTATCGACCGTCTCGCCGTGACGGATAAGGAGAAGGTTCATGATCGAGATCGGTGTTTGGGGCGACTTTACTTAAAGAGCGTGACGTGGAGGGGAGTGTTGGGAGCGCTAAGGAAGCCAGTCGCAGGCGGACCCGATTATCTGATTAGATCTCAAGGGATAAGCTTTTGTCAAATCCCGGATATTCCGTACGGAGTAGGAAACAGAGTTGAACCCAGCTGCCGGTTTCTTGGTGAGCCGGCACCGGTACCCGAGTACGGCTACCGTACCATACCAGTAGCGGCGCCGTGCAAGGCCCTCGACGCCGCAACGAAGACCTTGGCGGGATTGAGGGGGGGGGTATCTGCACTTCGAATTTTTCGGAGGTGAGAGTGTACCGTACGATACCAGTGCGGTGCGGCCTGTAGATATATTCGTCACGTGCCTCATCCAGGTACACTTCAACCAACCGGTCCACCAAATTTTTCTTATCAGACCCACGTGACGAATAGGCCGCAGTCGTAAATGAAGATACCAGTATGCGGGCAACATAATTGAGAGAGAGGGGGGGATATATTCTGAATTAGGTCTTTCCCCGTTTTACCCTTTTTCACTTCTTTCTACTCTCTCCCCGCCTGCCTGCAGTGCAGGTCAATCCAGTTATCATAGCAGATAGCGCGTTCTTGCGGTTTTTCTGAACCCTTCCTCCCTTCGAAGGGGGCGGGGTTCATGAGCGCGAGCCCCAAGACCTTCGTTGATTTTTATCACTGTCCCCTCCGTCATGCCGGCACTGAAGGCCCGTACAGTACAGTACAGCACAAGTGAGAATACACCGTTGCACTATTATATCTATCACATCCCTATTCACCTCTAATACCCATAATTTCCGGAATCTCGGATATTCGCTTATGACAACCTGCTTCGTACTGGCCCAGGTCTTCATGGATTCGGGGACCAGATCCAAGCGACTCCATAAACTTGCCCTTCCTGGCTGGTCAGTTCAGGGAGCGATCCATTTCGCAATCATTACAGGAACGATTCTTCCTTCTTGACTCTCTCTCGGTACCGAAAGTGTCGCGAATGAAGAAACCGGCATCTCGGAGGCACCAGACCCCGCTGTTCCGGACGTGATGCCTGGTGCCGGGTTCCTATAACATTGGAAAGCTATCCACCGGTGAGCTCGGGCACGGGACGAGCCTAAATATGACACACCGGTGCCTCAGCTTTCACATACCAAAACAAAGATAAAACTCATATTCTAGCTCTCTACTACGCAATGCCGGTACGAGCGCCACCGGTACTGCTGCTTGATGGGCTTTGGACTGTACCCTGCCCCCCCGTGCTCCCTAGTGAATTGTTGGCTCCCATACCGGTATTCATGGGCCGTCTACAAGTTAACGACCGGTAAATGGTCATCCATTTTTCCCCATTTTATATGATACTGGACGATATATATACTGCCTGTAAAAAATCAAAGGATTTAACAAAAATATATATATATATACTGCCTGTGGACGCACTTGTCATCTTTATTCGTCGTGATCGCTGAATCCTTCCCTACACCCACTCTGTTGCTCTTTTTCTGGGCCGCGCAGACACGAGTAGATTCCGTCTCCCTCCATTCTTTCCCTTTTTGGAATTTCTGTTGGTAGCCGCACCGTGCAAGTAGCATTTTGCAGGCCCAATGATTCCCTCGCTTTTCACTTTTGCTCTTAGCATCTTTCCTTTCTTGGCTCAGGCTGGTCCTACGAGTGCGGCCGATAGATATATCCGTCACGTGAGTCTGATAAGAAAGTTTCGGCGCACCTTTTGGCTGCAATTTGTCCTTAGATAAGGCACGTGACGAATATATTTATCGGCCGCACTCGTAGTTGTCCCTCCGGTTCTGAGTTGGCGATAAGAATCACCAAGTTTGTTACCGGGGCAACACCTGATAAGGTGCTTGGCGCTACCGGCGATTTCTTCAACGCAAAATGTGGGTTTTATATTCCCTTTTCATAAGGTTAGCAATCAGCCAACAGGTTCTTATACCAGGGCAGGGAGTTCCCCAAGTCGGAATCTCAAACAACCCCACAAGACGCACACTTGCATTTGATGGTGTTCAGTTTGTTGAGGAACTGATGTCGGCCAACGTCGACCGGACCAACAAAGTCAACTCCTTCTCGGTGAATTGGAAGTCGGCCGATTCAGTAACCTTCGCTGCTGCGGCAGCCCAGGTCCGGATCCCGTACTATGGACAAAACTTTGAGATTGAACCCCGCTGCAACGGAAACACCTATTTCACTAGAAACTAGAATTGTAGGCTGTTCATTTCTAGCGACACTTCCAAAGATGCTGCAATAGAATGGTTCGAAGCAAGACATCGCAATGCTGTTCAGAATGTCCTTCGGGAGCTAGGAGTCCAGGGTTCGATGGAGGAACAGATCAATGGAGAAATACCTGGTTATGGTACTATAACAACCACTACTGCACCTCCTTCTACCACGAGTACGCCGACTTCTACGTCTTCTGCTTCCCCTGCATCCTCAGCCACATCCCCAGCCACGGCTAACCCAGGCACTACTACAGCTCCCGAGCCTGTTCCACAGGTGGCTCCTGGGCAAAGCGGCCGTTGCTTCCGAGCGGAAGACTCCTGAGGGGCACAGGGGCAAGGCGGACTCTATATTCGCCCTAGCTACTGGCGGGATCATAGCTTCCATCTTATGGCGGTGATGGAAAGATGAAAGGAAGAGACACAGACTACTAGAGGAAAGCTTGGAATTCGTCAAAGAACCGAGTGATTTATTGTGTTGACGAGAGAGAAGTATTTCGTTCTCAATATACGGATAAACCGGCTGTCTCGGACTTGTAAATATTTCATGGGGACAGTTAGTCATGGGTTGGGGAAGTACGGCGTTTATTCTTCCAAGTATCCTTTGTATCAAGTGAAAACTTTCATTTTATGGGTTAAGGGATTGACCACCATAATATTCTTTGAAACATATCAATAAAAATGCAAATTTGGCAGACCATAGTGGAGGTACAGTACGAGTACATACACTCGAGGCGAAAGTGATACGGGTACGGGGCGCTCCAATACAAGTGGAAGTTCGCGTAAGGCTCGATAGGAAAAGGAAACGAGGCAAAGGGAAAAAGAAATTCGATAAATGAATCTATCGCATTTGCGGCTTTTGTCTGCAGGAACAGGAGGGAATGCGAGATTTTATTTTCTCGATTGCCATTGATGGGATGAAGGATCACGTGTGGGAGGGGGGGGGGGTGGCTGGTGGGGGTGACGGTCAATTGTGCAATTTTGGTGGGGCTTCACTACAGTACGAGTACGAGTACATGCAGGAGTTGAATTAAGGCGAGACCCGCAGCGGGGCAGGCTTGGAATTAGAAAGAGAACGAGAATCTACTTGATGGGGGGGGGCAGCAATTTTGCGGAAGAAGGGCGTGGACTTGATCGGGCATGGAGGGGGATTTTGCCCTTAATTGTATTCTACGAGGAGAGGCTCAACTAACTCGATCGCCTTCTAATGAACCAGGGG